GCTCGAGGGTTTGTACGGGTAATTGATCATCTTCAGGGGGACTTGAGGGGCTTCGGTAGACCACACCGAAAAGGAGATATTCGGACCCGCGCAGCGGGATTTGGACCCAGAGTGCATCGCAAAATAATGCAGGGGTGGTGTAAGCACAGGGCAACCCCACCAGCCCTCTCTCATTTTGAGTCAGCTCGAAAAATAGAGTAACCATCTATCGAGATCTCCACATCACAGACATCTGGCGTGAGCCAGGTCTCTGTGCGTGCGATTATGGACGGTTGTTCAAGGCAAGCTGACTGTTTAACATCGCCGAGCTTCCTGAATAGGCTGAGGTAGTTTGTGGATAAGCATTTCAACACTGTCTCTGCTGCTTCCGAGGGTGGAGAGTCGAAAGTTGTGTGACCAGGGTGGTTGGCAGACTTAATAGTTGTGCACCAGGTTTGAGTCTGAGTCCAAGGCTCCAAGGGGCCTCTGGGGCGATGTTATCTGCTTCCTGTCTTTGTGGTTTCTGTGGGTGCTTTCGCTTGCGAGGTTTTTTCGTTTCTTGGGAGCTCGGTTTGCTCGGTCCTTTTGGCTTTGGGGGACGGAGTTTTTTCCCCATGGGCGCTATACTTTCTTGTAGGCAACCACTGACTCTGTTGAAATAATTGGGGCCCAGATAAAAACCTAGGATTGAGGGAAACTGAGAGGCCACCCAAGTAGGGAACCTTCAGGAAGCGAAACACCAGCCATGAGCTTTCGCAAGACTATGAACAAAGTTGTTAGAAATGCTTCCACAGAAAAGGGGGTTTTATTTTCAAACCTTGTTCAACGTCTCTCACTTCTTGCTCACTCACAACAATTTGTCCTCCAAACTTTGCAAGACAATTTGTTCGTTGAATGATACTGAGGCCCCCAACAATAGGTCTCGATGCTGCTCTTCGTGAAAGACCATCCATAACGGATACAATCTGTGCCCACCAGCCAAACCTAAAGTCAACACTGGCGGTCCCACATGGAACTTGTTGCTGCAAATAGTGCCTTATGCCGGATAACAACATAAAGCCATATTACTGTCAGGTGCACTAACCTATAATGGGACAGCGGTTACTGCCGGAAACTACTCACGATTTCGGCTGTCACTCTGCCTCTCCTCCAACCTGGACATTACTTTAAAATGCGTCGGTCTCTAAACCGGTCTGAACTGTGCCCCATCGCCTTTTCTCTCAGCAAAGGATCGAATCACCCTAATACCCGTGACTATATGAAGTGCTTCTACTTGCCACGATTCGCACTTCGAACTTTCAGCGGCCCATTGGCCAAAATAAGCCTGTTCACTTTTAAGTATCCTGAACAAAACTCATGCAGTTAGCTAGATGCTCCGGAATGCAGCGCACTCTTGGCCATAGCTGCTGCTTTCCCCTCCGACAATCACTGACAGCCATTAAGGGGCGCAAGTGACAACGAGGCCAAAAGCATCTGCAGGATGATCGATTTAATCACCCACCATTATACCACCTTTGGATCACCGTTACCATCTGCCGGTAGGGGGCAGCAATCATCCTCCACTGACGGAGCCTCCCGAACTCTTGCACACAACGAGGCAAAAGCATCTGCAGGATGATCGATTTAATCACCCACCATTATACCACCTTTGGATCACCGTTACCATCTGCCGGTAGGGGGCAGCAATCATCCTCCACTGACGGAGCCTCCCGAACTCTTGCACGAAACAATTAGGAAAAGTAGTATGCTGAAGTCCTTTTCGGAGTTTAACTGTCACTTCAAAAGAAGTCGGTGAAAGCCTACGCACCAAGGGTAGTGCCATGTGCCATCTGCCTGCCGGAACGACCTATACCTGAGCATAAACCTGAGGGGACAAGATCGGAGGGTGAACAGGGAGGCAACACACGCATGTGATGATTCTTCAAAAACGGGCGGCCTATGTTCGTTAGTTCAAGTTGGCGTGACAAAACAATCGAGCCCCACAATAAATAAAACGGGTCATCTGGTGGCCCAAACCGCCTTGGAGATGTATTCTCTATATACATGCATAGTTAGCCCCCACCAGCCACCATTCCGATGTGCCTGCGTAGGGTTAGCCGTAGAATGTCACCTGTGCCACCGTGATACCTCAAACAATGAGTTGTCTACGGGAACACCTGCAGATGCTCACGCCAAATACGAACTGAAAAAACCTTATAGGATAAATAAATTGATGATTCAACTCATTGCGCCGCAATCTGATGCAACACCCGTGCAACGGAATTGGTGAGCACTAAGAACAGATTTTGGCCTGCCAACCAACTCGCCCATGGAGAATGACGTAAGTTGACATGGCTACAGAGCTGGAATGCATGACATACGCAGGGGTTTGGTTTGTTGTCGCATCAGAAAAAGCATGCTATAAGCATACGTAGCCAGCCACAGTGAGCCGTCATGCAGCTTAGTAAAGACAACAGTAACCGAAGACAACAATATCTAGAGCCAGTGAAGGCAGGTCTGGTAAAAAGCTGCGGGGGATTTTTTGCCATGCCTGTATTCACGTTGGTGGTCAGCCAACTCAAGTGGTCAGCAAAGATATAGTATCAGGTATAGCTAGCTCAGTTTCCAGATTCAACCGTCCCGCTGATAAGTTTTGGTCTTGCGCACCCAATCTCTGTGCCTCGAAGAAGGAGACCACTTAGTATCCCTTCCCCCACGACGTGCTACTTTGCGTGTTCACATTCTACTCCGCCAGATTCAATGTCACCAGCCTTTGGACTTTGACTAAAGTGCCGTGACATCGAATTATTTTGCCAACCTATCGAAGACTTCCCTGTTGCAATATAAAGCTTTCAGCCTTTATTCCTGAATGCAATAAATGAAACTATTGAACTCCACAATAATATTTGGATGGTATCTCATGTTACCATGACATTTACGCGCGCCTTACGGTAATGAAAAACCTAAGACGGAATCAAGAATGTACAAACTAGACATCCCTTTGGATGCAAAAGAAGCGGCAGTCATTGAGGCAAGAAGGAAGCGTGAACAAGAGAGGCAAGCAAGAATTTTCAATGCCAGAACCAGACTGATTGGGGTAATCAATTAAGTGCGTTGAATTCAAATTTTCAGGTTGATGAACGAGCGCTTCAGCAACAGGTGGAAGAGAAGAAGGAGCGCGAACTTCGAGAGGACTTGAGGGAGAAAGCTTACGGTATTTTGAGTACAATTTTGGTAGTTCTTTACTTTAGCTGCCGATGCCGTGAGGAACGATAAAATCGCTAGCATCCTAGAGAAGCGGCAAGAGAGGGACAAATATCTAATAAACAGAAGCTTGAACGAATTTCGCGCACTGCATCAGCAACCGGATTCACGAAGAGAGTTCGACCTTTACGATCCTGAAGCTTTGAAGAAAGACCGTCCCGCTAGAGTTTCTGACGACGATCCCCGCTGTGGTGTTGCATCAATGCAAAAGTTTGAAGGGGAGGATCTTAATGGGCAGGCAAGAAAGCAGTACCAACAGGAGCAAGCTCAGAATTGGCTCGAGAGACAGATTGAAGAACGAAGGAGGGCTGAAGCCGCAAGAAACGAGGCAGAAAGGTGAACCACTTGCATGCCCTCGAGGATTATATGTCGCTACACATTTGTTTATTCTGGTTGGGTTATTTTGTTAGCTTTTCGTATGCCTTGAAGCGTATCAGGTTGTCGTGACTATGAGCAAGAACGTCGCCTATTCTAATTCCGGGCCATAATCCTGCTCATAGGTATCATTCAAACAACCTGGGTCGTCATTCTACGCAGCGCCGCGGCTAAATACGACAGGAACTGGTAAAACGGTGGTTTGAGATATTTCATTTAATGACAAAGTTATGCCATGTTCGCTTTTCTGCACACAGTCTTAGTAGCTTTTGGAATGAGGTCATGAGGGTTGTCATCCGTAGATTGAGTTATGTCTTGGTATATCAGTCAGAAGTAACTGTACCGACGATATAAGTTATCAGCACTGTGGTGTGTGGACACTGTCTAGAACCTGACAGCAAAACATCCGGTTTATAGAAAACCGTCTTTTTCAATCACAAACAGATTTAATAGAAATATCGTCGGGATATTCTCCACTAGTAGATACAAAAAATTTCCGTAAACGTGAAGAGAAGAACAAGTGCAAGTTTAAACTCGATGTGCAAAGGAAAGCGGAAAGTTAATGCAAAAAAGTAAAAACATAGGTCCTATTGCGCCCCACAAGAGCTAGGCCTATTTCGAATATACTTGAGTAATTGAGCTGGCTTTAATGACACTGAAAGATGCGGCTGCCAAGAAACTATAGGAAACCATTTTACTCCAAAAGTTACTCGAAATTCGAGGTAAATGAAAATTAAATTATTTTCTTGAGAATTGAAGCCACTGTAGAAGCGAAAAAGAGCAGCTTTTGTAAATAGCTGAACATGTGCTATAATGACATTAATGATTATTATCATTTAGCCGGAATCGAAGTACGAAAACGCTAACTTAAGGCTTCCTCTCCCGAGGAGCTTACCAATGTTTTGCTCAAAAAAGATTTGGCCGGTAGGTATCTTGAATCGTGTGTAAATTTCTTCCTCGAACGGATTATACAGACAGCATCCCTTTTGAGCTTTTTTGCACAAAGTGTTGATATCATACCTAGTCATCGTCGTCAAAGACTGCAATATCGGTGTTGGAACTGATGCTTCACTACCGTACAACCATAACGTTCTTCAAATTAACTATGAGAAAAGCCCTAGAATGAAAAGAAGAGAAAAAGAATGGGCGAGGGAGGCAAACTAGTTCTGGCCCATGCTAGACATTCTGAGGTGTCTACATCTCTAAGCGCTCAATCTAGAAAGAAACTCACAGCACGAGCGCCACTGGTATCAGTTAGCCGCCATTTCTTGCAAAGTCTCCAACCAAGCAAAGGCGGAGTGATGGGGACCCCATCCCGGAAGGTGCACAACATTAAAAACACCCTAACTCTTCGCTATCTCTCTCACGCCTTTCTGCCAAGACATGCACTGTTCACATCGTGGCTTGTGACACTCTGAAGGAGCAACGGGAAAAACACTTTTCTCGGTAGACAGTGTTTTGCGTTGCATGGCACATGACCGGGACATCCATGTCAGTGGTGCTGGACGTTTTACCGGATTGAAATACCTGCAACACAAACAAATGCCAGTTCTCTAATCACGTTGTTACTAACACGCTGACGCCATTAAAAACCAGCCACACTTATGCGGCATCAGTAGTCAAAAACCTGAGGGCGTCTTACAGCATCTATCCGCAGAGGTCATGTCTCGCACCCATACAACAACACCTCTCTTTTTGCAGTCTGGTACACCCGACGCTTAAAATCTAGTGAGACGCCTTTTTGACGCCACAAACAACGCAAATTAGCAAATGTGACTTGAGCCTTTGGGATTCTTGCACTGGCTTCATCAAAAACACTTCCATCGGAGCTAATACAACTACCAAGGTATGTGAAGTTTTCCACAATCTCCAGGTGATTTTCCTTGAATTGTAAGAGATACCTTCGGAGAGTGCACGTTCTGAAGCTTGGCTTGCTCTTTGAAGACACAAGGCGCATGCCAAAAGACGGTATGATGGTAGTCGTTCTATTCAACAGAGCTTGTGCTTTGCTTTGGTCTTCAAAGATAAGAGCAATGTCATCTGCGTACTCCAAATTGACAAGGCTGTTGCCAGTAACAATTGAACACCGGGATTCTGAAGACCGCTTAGTGTTCACCTCATCATTTTAGCAATGACAAATTTGAACAAGAATGGAGAAAGTTGACATCCTTGTCAAACACTGCTTTTTGCAGGGAAGCTTTTAAAGCGCTCACCATACAGTCTCACCCGCTCAGAAGTATGTGAATATAGCTATCCTATTATGTTTTCGAACTTCTGGGGCATACTCTATTGAGCCAGTGTAGTTAACAGCACTGACCAGTCGACAGAATCAAATGCATCTTTGAAGTCAAGGAATACCAGGTTTGTGGGTCGTGTGTACATGAAGCATTGCTCTAACACCTGACGGAGTGTGAATAGATGGTCAACGCAGCCATATTTTTTTTACTTTTGCAGTTTACATATCTTATTTGACAGGAGAAAAGATGTAGCAGCGAATTGTGATTAAACATTTGCAATTATTTGTCAAGTGGTTCAAAACAAAGATCATCTTTGTCAGAAGTCAGAAAAGACGAAAATTGCATAGCTTGCTGATTTATATCTGTTTATCCATGACAATTTGCGGGCACCCGGACTCCCACCTGACATTAGTTCAGTTAGGTGGATGTTACTTCATTTACCTTGGCTGATTTCATTAGAATGATGAGGTTGATCTCGGCAAAAATTAACCAACTATATATCGTTATTCAACTGAAACGTCAGTTAGTGTGATGCTTGAAAAGTTGGCGCCATGGCATAAAATGACGAAGACCTCATGTGTCTCAGAAGGTCATTCAATAAACACTTTATTTTTGGCAAGTTAAGGTACTAACGGGTACGTTATTAATACGATAAAATCAGAAAATCTTCACCAAAACCTGATGCGCAGGTGAATGTTTAATTCAGAATGGTCTGCAATTTTGTATCCATATTTTGAATAGCCATCTGACCTTCTCACATCTGGGTATTCAGACGTCTTATACACAAATGTTTACTTGGTGTTCTTTTTAATCTACGAGATAATGTTTGTCGTAGGAATACATAGACAAGATCCTTCCCAGTTTGGCAATATGATATGAGCAACCGCAAGCACATCATCAAATCGCGCCAATGAGCATCTTTGCAATTCTTTTGTCCAAAAAGCTACTAAAAATTAGGAAAAACCACAAAAGCATATTTTATCTAAAAAACGTTTCTTGGCAGCATATATAAGTAGTTGGCTCGGCTATATGCATTCATAACGCCATTTTTAAACCTCAAACTAGATAGGTTTTTCTTGTAGAGAATTAAAATCACTGATCCATGAGTGAACATATATCTGATTAGTTTGGAATTGGTGCAGAACAATATACTGGAATGTACAAACAGCTTCTGGTTGACGTGCAACCAAACGAGTAAGCCTTTTGACCGAGAGGTTAACACTGGCGATGCGATAAGTTGATCCCAATGCCACATGGGAGAATATGTTTCTAAAAAGGAGAAAAATGTAGGAGCAAAAATTCAAATCCAACGTGGGACACTTACAAATGGAGGGTAACAAATCGATTTCAGTACAACAAACAGAATGGCATCCTATGGTTAGCATTGTAAGGAATTTGTTTTTTCCCTACTTATACGGGGCGAAATTTTTACTTTCTTTGTAGTTTAATGATTGTAGTTACCAACTTGTTGATTGGCTCATACAGTATATATTTCTTTGTATTTCAAGTGTTTAATAAAAAAATCAAACATTTTCCCCACGAAACAAAAAGGCGTTTTGATTTTCCTTAAACAGGGGACAAAATATAGAATAGTGTTGGTGAGTTAGGTTCAGAAAGTAGTTTTAATTACGGTGGACCAGTGAATGGACATTAAAAAAAATCAAACATATTTTTTTCAAACATATGCCACAATAAAAATAGAATCTGATGATAATTAGTCATTATTATCACAATTTACGGTCTAAATAATCTTTACAAATTTGTGTCACTTGTGGCGTCAAAAGGGCACCACTAGATCTCAAGCAGCTTGTGCACCAAACTACATTTAGAGCGTGTTTTCGTATGGTTGTGACACACAGCTTCCCTCAGGATTTTGACCACCGGTGACTTAGAAGTGTCGCTGGTATCGGATGATGTAGACCAATTTTTAACTTGGCAACGTAATGACTAGTTATCGAATTGTATAACTCCAAGGGTTGAATGCCTGTATTTCTTGCGAGCTACATGAAAAATGGCAACTCAAAATGACAATGAGACAATGCAGATTGGAAGTCGGAGAGCACTGGAAATAGCATGTACATTACGCAATACAAAGCCGAATCTTAACCCGCCCGCCTTCTTTGCCTTCATGGACATTGAACGTACAAGAATCCTGTTGCGTGTGATCCTAAGGCAAGGATTTTTTGGTAGATTACTACGTTGTCTCTGCAGAAGCACAGATGGTCCATCCAGTCGTACAACTAATAGAACGTGGAGTTCCGTCGATCTTAGTTAACTCAACCTAACTAGACCCAACTATAAGAGTCAAGTGAATGTCCGTCCACAATAATCCTAGATATAATTCATCGCGATGACAGGCGTAGGATAGGGTTACCATCATTGTCATCATTGTAGCCATCTTCCATGAAAACGCAATGGTAGTAGATGCTGGTCAGTAGCAACGATGAAAGCATGGTAGACTGAAGAGAAGGAGGTCATTTACTGAACTTCCTAATTTTCTTGGAAAAAGTGATCAATAACAAGGGGCCCAGACATTGAAACAGAAACCAGGTTAACACATCCAAACAAAACACCGAGGTAAGCCGTTCTAATCTACTTGGCGAAATCCACCCGGTAAATCTGCATAGTGCAACAGGATGCCTTCAGCTAGCAAGCACATTTTGTATAGCCATGTTATAGCTTGTCTCCCTTAAAGATTGCCCACGCGCTTCTTTTAGCTGTGACAGCACAACCACAGAACACACAGAGGTATACTAACCATTACTATCGAGTCTTTCAAACTGATATATCAGATAGGCCCAAGTAGACCGAGCTACGGGCAAACCAAAAAATTGAAAAACTTTGAACTGCTTCCAAAAGTTCGTCTGTGACAGACCATGGAACAGCGATTGCTGAATCGCGAAACATCATTGTCTGCTGCCATTTTTGAGCGTCGATTTTTTAAATCGCCCAAATCTTTTGGACAGTGCGTTCTATGAATTTATCGGTAGCCAAAATGAATAAAATGTTGACGGAAAAGGCCTTTTGGAAAACCAGTGTTTGAAAGGGTTATTGTAAACCTTAACACAACTGGAACCATCCGAATTCAAGAAAAAACGTGTATCCCAAACCGTCTGGGGGTATTTTTTTGTTCAAATGCACTTGGAAACTTTATAATTTTCACATATTTTAAGGCTCCTGTAAAATCAGAGAAAACTGCGAATAGGGACTAACGGCCTATGTGCTAACCCTCAAGTGCTTAAGGTACTGCAAAGGAGTGATCAGTGAATTGTTACATGCCAGTAATAAGCGTCTCAGTACCACAAGGAAGTGCGAACTACTTATCATATTTCAGCCAGGTGGATCAAAAGTAGCTTCAAGAACAAATGGTTATGAAGGTCTCCTTTTTTGTCTTCATAGATTTGGGTTCAGGTTGAGGATCAGGAATTCTGTGCTCAAAAAACAAAGATTTTGACATTTTTCATAGGATATTTACGCAGTCTAAATTGCCTAATCTTTGTACGTGGTTTTGAAGCTCACTTTCTTAGGCTAAGCGCGACCTGATACTAATGTTTGGGCAGATTAATCAACACAACCAAATGTTAATTTTCCCAGTATCACAATGGACGTGGCCACACTCACATAATGAACCGAAATAAAGTTTAGGACAAGTTTAGGTTGGGTCTAAACGCATCTGGAACCAAAACCAACTACCTTTAGCTGCCAAGGTCTCTTCAGTAATATTTTCCGGACCACAGAACGGTTGTAATCCACACCAATGATCTATTTTATTTAATCTGTGCATGTATATATGAACAAAGGAAACCACATCTTGAAGTTCGATCACCAATGATGGTACTCATAGATTACACTTGAAATGTTATGTACTTTGTGCGGCAAAAGCCGTTCATCTCGTACACTCTTTTTCGTCCAGCCTTTTGACGGATGAAAACGACTCAGAGAACCAGTTTTTGACTTAGCAATGAAGAACGAAAGTCATTATCAATTGACTTAGTCACTTTGCCAACTGATGCCTCGCCGCGAATGGGGACATTAGGATGAGAAATAAAAGCGGTTATTGACGCTTACTAATGTGTTTGTGTCAAGCAATCAGTAGTTGTTTTTATCAATGCTTTCGCCTTCACAGTGTAGTTCTTTCTCTCCGAAATATTGCACGAACAATAATTTGTCTTCAGTGAGCTTATGGGGATCACCACTTACAACACGTGGCTCTCATTATCTTATTCTCCCTACCCTCTGTGACTTCTGCAAGTTAAACCAGTGTACGTTAATGCACGATGTGTGAGGTAAAAGGATGAACTGAACTGAACAAGATTAACTGATTTCCTTAGCTGGAGCAAAATCACTAACAGTCTCAAATGATACAAGATTCTTGGTTGGAAAATTCGTACAGCAAGGTGCCGACCGACTCTGCATGGTGTACCGTCAACTGATGGAATTTTTTTCCTAGAATCAGGTTTTCATTTGCGCACCACTGATCATCACACAAAATAGAAACAAACAACTAAGTGAAAACTGCTGAGGCACCCTTTTTTCATCCAAAAAGAAGACAGTCTGACGAGTAATATTGGTCTGAGCCGGTTTGATTTTTCTGCTTCCCGCAGGTTTTCGAACTGCACTGATCATTTCTCCAATCCCTTCAACACAAAGGCTGGCGTTTGTTGCACTTCTACTTTTTGGCCTCAAGTTAAAACATATTTTCCAGTATTCAGTTATTAAACTTTCAGAACCGTGAACCAACAGCCAGCATGGCACCACTTCTGTAAAGTAATCCATTTTATTAGTCAACCTTAGAATGGGTACGGTCTCCCACATAGATGGTGGAATAAGGGACATAAAATTCATGCACAGTATGGTAGTCACTTTTGTTTGAATCGCTGTCAGTTTCGTTAATTCATCTTTTATTATACGTGATATTTCGGACGCCTGGAAAACTCACAGTCCATGGCTCAAAATAGGACTAAATGAGATGAATGAATGGCTCCACTCAATTTATCTTAAATATGAATTTATATAAACGAGTAACATCGTCAGTCAAACAGAAAAAAACAAACTGTGTACACTCCTGAATAACTAAACCGCAAGTGGTATGGTGCAGTTTTCTTACAAGCGACGAACAGTCAATTACCCCTAGAGGGCGAGTTTAATTAAGGAAGATCCAGCTTTTGTAACAAAAGGAGTTCAGTCGAGGATAATCAGTTGCAGGCATAGAAGGTTGAAAAAAATCTCAGCTAAGCTCACATTCAGATAGTGCAACAGCCCTCTGTAACTTTCCCAGTGAAATCTTATGCTGAAAGGAGGCATAAAACATCATGAGGCTATTCTCGGACATTATTCAGCTTCAAAAAAATAGCACGACCGATAGAGCCGCTATATTCACAACCCTGCTCCAGGCAACTAATCAACTTATTTTTAATAGAACGATCCACCTCCCTTCACCGGTTCACACCGGCAAATCCCATTATGTTATTGTTGCAGACCAAGACTATCTAAAGGGTGAGAGCTGAATCGTCCTGCACCCGCTGGATGCAGATATAATCATTAATGTCGAAAAATAATTCGTAGATATTTTTCTAAGCCACTTCTTAGTTAGCAAGCCTAATGCTTGAGAAAAGTAGCCACTCGTGCAATTTGCCCTTATTAGTGGATAGTCTTTGAGCCCTGTAGACTTCGCTGGACGAAAAATAATTCGTAGATAATTTTCTATGCCACTTCTTAGTTAGCAAGCCTCAGGCTTGAAAAAAGTGGCCACTCGTTCAATTTCTCCCTTGTTAGTGGATAGTCTTTGAGCCCTGTAGACTGCATTTCTAAGCCATAGAAAGAAATGTGAACCGAGGACATCAAGGTTCACTCTTAGTACAATGACCTTGGTGAATAGCTTTCAGCTGATTGCACACGAACCTTGATTCGCCTCCGTGAAACGACAGACCGAGCAGTTACATAACAAATCCAAAGCATTCATATCAACACTTAAGAGGTCGCTAATTTATGCAGTCGGCATAGTTCAAAAAATATCTTCTCGATCAGATTTCAAAAATTTTCCGTTACTGTCATTGTGTTTGAGACACCCGGTTGTAAATTGTGGGCTTTCATAGTTACTTTACGATTTGGGTTATGTCAATTTATGTTTCCGGCACAAAAGTATCCCAGTAAATTATTGTAATCTCTGTTAACAATGTCTGATTGACAAAAGTCTTCAGCAACATGCATCCTTCTTATTATACTACTAACATACAGTTGAACTAATATTGCTCACTTCTAGGAAGACTCTTTGAAGGGCTCCTGGATGGATAATTAGTCTTACCAAGGATCTCAATTGAGTGGATAAAAGTGATTTGATATGAAGACCGCACGAACTCATCAAAAGAGGATAAGCGTTGTCCCGTTATCGATAAAAATAATGTGTTCCATAAAAATTTTATCTGGTGGCCTCTCGGTTCGTTTGGGTTGCACTGTACGCTGAAATTTACAACCACATCTTGTCCATTCAGATTGCACGCATTAAAACGACGCGAATTAGACCAAAGGGCGTGTGAGTTGGCCAAAGCAGAAGAGGAATGCCGAAGANTAACATGGCATACAAAGGTTCAACAGTGCACTGAAAATCGAGGAAGAACAGCGTAAACTGCAGAAGGCAAAACAAGAACAGGACGACAATATGACCGAAATATGCAATGCCATCTATAGTGATTTCCTGACAGAAAATCCAGCACAGGCCATTTCCGCATTTGGCCCTCACCGCTACGTCCCCGATCGTTATAAAGGCATGCCACCAGAACAAAAAGCAGATATTGTCAAGACTCAGCAAAAGCAAATATTGGAGAGGGAGGTAAGTATCAAGTCGATTCACAAATACGAACCAATGCCTTAAATTTAGGTCGACGCCTGAGTAAGTTTTGTTTAAATTAACCCATATCATGCGCCCTGTAACTTAGAACCTCTGTTGCGTATTGTATAGGATAACTCCATGGTCACCTTATTTCGCGAATTTAATGGATAAATCTATCAATATCCTCCAGGCCAGGGGCTGCAGGTGTTGAAGGTAAATATACACAAGGAAACGTCATTGCCACTTGGAAAAACTGCACAACTCACAATACTACCTGTTCTTTCTGGCACAAATTTGTATAGGTAAACCCGAAGACAAATCACAAGGGAACTGAGAGTAGGGCGTGCGAAACAAGAAAAAATTGCACCGCCGTGTGAAGGGGGTTCCCTTTATAGTAAAAATACCGCAAGATACTAAGGCAGCGTGTGTAGCAAACTGACTCAGTCCATGATTTATTCAACTGCCTACTAATTTCGGTAACTGTGTCTTCGTTGCTCTCTCTAGAGATTAAAAGCTGAAGAAAAAATGCGCGACGCAGAGTGGGATGCACAAAGGTTGAAATCAGCGAAACTTGGCTTACTGTTGGAGCGAGAACTCGACCGTACTACTAAGCAGTTGAAAAGACAGCTTGCTGAAGAAAATCTAAAATTGGCGTTAGATCAAAAAGCTTTTCAGGAGTATCTGGATCGTGAGGTAAGTCATGAACTTCCTATCAACATTGCCACCTTTTTTAATCACTAGGTAACTGTCTGTGTTGATGATTTTTTCTGTATATATTCATTCGAAAGTTCATCTGAGAAAATTGTACATTCGACAGTCCGTGATATTAAAGAAACGTTGAATTCTTCACCATTACCGGGTCAAAATAAGCTTTCATGTTAGTTTCTAAAGCCAGGACATAGGAAAGAACGGCAAATATTAGGTGAAGCTAGAACTTCAGATTTCAGTACGGATACTACTGAGGGTTTGTTGAGATGCTATAATGCTCGGTTTATTTCAGGCGATGAAATAGGAGTTTTTGAGTACTTTTCAGAGACGCGGTGGATCAGCAGTGAAATTTATATTCATGAGCACGGCGGACTGCAAGCCTTCCCGATAGCTCAGTCAGCGCAGTGGAGTTTGGTAGTATCTGTCCCGAGGTGTCCTTTTTCCGTGTTTCGTGTACTTAACTTCAAGACCTATGGAATACTTCTCGCTACCTGGAGAGTAGTGAGAACATCTTAAAATATTGGTGGTTCGGGTGAGTTTATTGGTTGTTGATCTGTTCACCGAGCTTGGCAATTGACTTGCAAACGCTTCCAACTGATGATATCTCGTTGTATGTTGACGAAACGTTTGCACGTCAATCCCCAAGCTTCGCGAACGGATCAATAGCCACCTGATCAACAACCAATAGTACTGAAAACGTTTGTGATTTATCTGCAGGAATTTTCCACAATCACTTAGGAATATTATGCGAAAAGTTTCCAACCTTTGTCGTAGGTGTGGATAATTTCACATCTTAGATCATATGTGATTAGGAACTAATGCCGAGAACTTCTTCTTTTCAGGTCTACACAAATCAACCAACTGCAGATTACTTTACGCAATTCAACACGACATCTCGATAACCTCATCGATTTTCCTCCACCTATATTCGCTATTTGCCCATACAGTCTGACGATCACCTGAGGACCTATCTGTTACACAACGAAATCAAACAACGTCCTACGTACTGATCTCCATCCAAACAG